TGTTAAGATCTTTTTTTCGATGAGGAATATCCTCCTTAAATGTTTTACACTCATTTAGCTACACCCTGTATAATGTATTTCGATTCTATGACTACAGAATTTCTTTTATGTAAGAAAAATGTTTGCTGATGACACTAGTTCAATTCACAATGAAGATAGTGTACAAGAAATTAAGATCCTAATCAAATATCATTATGACTTCAATGTCATAAAATGTCACTGAATTTCCAGAAATTAAAAAGAAATTGAAAAGGTCTATATCAATTGATTCAAAAGAAACCCTTGAATTCCACAGTGAAAATAATAAATAGTCTCCTAATGCTGACTTTTTTGGCCTGATTCTAGATAAAAATCCATAATGGAGACAATACATTAAAACGATAAGAAGGAAAATGACTGTCACCATTGAAATTCTATCAAAAAAAGAAATAAATCTAAAAATGTTCAAGCCAGTCTCGGATATACCTACACAGTAGGTTGAACGGACTGACGCCTATCAGAAAACAACTACTCCCCTGGCTAATACCACGAACGGCGTTGGATTATATCCTGCATATGCAATTGGCAATACAATTGAAAGAGTGGACCTTCAATTTTGAACGGGCACACTTGCAGACCGGTTTCGGTCTCCTCGGGCGACTCTTCAGTGCAAGATAGTGAGCATCATCGACCTAAAGTCAATGATATTCCATGATTGAAAATCGAAATTCTTTCAGAGTATTTAATTCCTCGTCTTGAGTTGGAGCGAACAACAAAAATGTCACTCCATCTAGTGGACGAGCTACTAACCAACTGCATATCCGATATTTGCCCGATTCCTCTGAATAAGGGAGAAAAACTTTCTTATTAGTCAGAGGGCTATGCTTGAACACTGGTAGTAAACAAATCTAAAGAAATGAAGTTTAAATGTTCAAGCCAATATCGGATATACCTACACAGTAAGTTGAATGGACTGACGCCTATCAGAAAACAAATACCTCACTGGCTAATACCACGAACGACGTTGGATTATTTCCGACAGGCGTCAGTGCAGGAATCTTCACAGAAAATTTTCTGCTGTCTCTACGACCACGTTTGAAGTCAGCACATCAACGTTTAGTTGTTGTTTCTGGTGGAAAGGAGTCCTTATAACACTTTTTAAAAGCCATCGCTTCTTTTGAACGGTATTTTTCGAATCAAGAAGCAGTGAGAAATTAAAACACGAAAATGTCTTTGGTCCATTGTTTTGAAAATAACAAAAGTAGTGTCACTCTCACTCACAAACCTATGAGCAGAATATCATGAAATTTCAACAGCTTTTTTTCAAAGGTTAGTACTAACTGAAAAAGCAGTGTCTTGTGATTTCTCATATCTTTCTCATAGCGCAAAATTGTTGAAATACTCACTCTTAGGTTGTTATCCGGCCCAGCCACTACTAAACCTCCTTTATACCACGAAATTGTAGGAACGTTCTTTCCTTGAAAGGATACTTCCACGACCCGTTCTACAGCGAACTCGTTGTCAACCTATAAAAATTATTGTTACAGTAAATTTCACAATTATTCAAAATCACTAGATACTTTACTTATATCAATAATGAATTTATCGATTTAAAGTTATCGTCACCAAATCCAATCTCATAACCTACTATAATATCATCAATCGTTATAATTGATTGAGTAAAATACTGCCCAAGTTAAATAAATATCCAAAACATCGAATTTGTTTATTGTTATTATTTTTTACACTGTTGAAGTGAATTGTGATTTTATTGTGCTGGTTTTTAGAAGCGTGTTCATTTCAAAAACTGCTGAATTTTTTTTTCCATTTTTGTATAAATTTTTTGTAAACAACGAAAATTCCGTACTCACTGAGTATATGCATCCGTTTTTATCCAGGATGAAGCATCCACCTTCGGTTGTCCACAGAGTATCGACAAATGGGGCAATATCTTTCAGTTTTGGAATCTTTCCATAATTTTTTCCCATAAAGACCTGTTTGCAACAGACGTGTAGATCCCAAAAGCACAACTCTTCCGTATTGACTGCCAGTTGCAACAAAGTGAAAGGTTTAGAGAAACTACAACTGCAAAAAAAGTTTGAACCTACTAGTACGTATGCCGTCTGTTCAAAAAATGGGTGACTTTTCCTTAAAAAATATGTATTCATTCATCAATTTTAGTTTGCTAGCACAGTAGCTTCATCAACATTGATTTGAATATTACAAGTTGCTTCTTTCTCTACTATTTATACACCACAGGTAAAGTTCAAGTAAAAGATATAGTGCCCCCTACCTTCCAGCAGTTCCCATTTAATAACACACACAACGCGGTACTCATCGCTACATTCTGTTGGTCACCGTAATATGACGTCAAATTTAATTTTATGACTCTTCAGCCAATCATAAAACTCGGTTAGTAAAATTTATCCAATACGAACCGCCAATTCTTCAGTCCATGTGGACTAATTCGTTGCGGCATAATTCCTTTGTATTGATTTTTTTGGCCTTTGACTTCGCCGACACCTTTAAGATTACTAAATCGGTTACTTCGACTATAATTACATTTAAGACTACATCCATCAAATTACCTGAACATCTACAACTTTTATATACCTGAAGCGTATTACCTCACTTCTACATCAATAATAATACTTTCTCAGGTTTTTTTAAACAAGTACAATAATGGTGATTTTTGCAAATACAGTTGGTTATTCATTGGAATGTTTGAATTTTTAGGTTCATTAATTTCCATTGCTTCCAAATGATTCAGTTTCAAACCTAAATATTCCTAAATATTCTACCAGTTTGCACCAATGTACCTATACCTTAGGACACGTTTCACACTTTGATGTATATATTCCTGATTTCTTGAATTTGGATGTTTTGTCTTTATTATTTTTAACTAACTTTCCCAACGTATTACTTGTTCTATATGCAATTTTAATATATCGTTTCCTAAAAAATTAAGTCACTTTTTCTGTTGTCCAAAGTACGTTAAAGCTCTATAATTTTGATTTTCATTATCTAATTTGTCAAAGTCTGGTACAACTTCCTTTCCATTGATGCAGTAGGGTCTCTTACGATCTTCGTGTATTTTCCTTTCTGAAACACCTCTTCGATCTTCTGTTCTTAGAGATCAGTATCCATCACAACAGTNTTTTCATTTTTTGTCAATAATAATTTTTAATTTTCAGCTTTTATAAATATTTCAATTTTCATTTTTTGGTTGTTGTTTGGTTTTATGCTATTTTTATGTAATTTCAGTTTTTTTTGTTCAAATTAAATTGTTATTGTCGGGTAATCCTTACAATAATTTTCCAGGAGTTTCAAATATTATATCAGACAATGGAAGTTTGAACTGATGAAAAAAGCTGCTACGTTGTGTTAATATGCATGGGTAGAATCGTAATGTATAGGACGGTTTGTGATAAATTGAAAAATCATGTTTGTTGTTCATTCTACTAATTGTTAAGTCCAAGAAATTGATTGAGTTTGAGTTGTCTGCTTCTACTTCGATAGTGGATTTAATGTTGTCATTAATTGTGTTAATAACCCTATAAAATTATCTAATTGTCTCTTATTACATGTAAAACGTACCAAAACATCATCCATATATCTGTGCCAATAGAAGAAATTCTTAATCAAAGGATGTTTGAAAATCGACTTCTCTAGGTTATCCATGAAAATTTCGCCAAATTAAGCCCATTACTCGATTACAGATTAGTCAATGTTCATCTTTCAATAGATAATTTGAATAAATAACTTAATATCATCGAGTAAATTGCGGTTAATAATGGGTTTAAAGCCGAATTAATAAACAAAATAATTTTCAATAAAGTCTACGCAAAAGAAATTCGAGAGGTTTTCCCTATTGATAAGGTAGATAATCAAAATTATAGAGATTCAACGTTTTGGATAAACAACAGAAAAAGTGGCTTCATTTATGAGGAAACGTTATATTGAAATTGCATGTAGAACAAGTAATACATTGGAAGAGTTAGTTAAAAATAATGAAGATAAAACATGCAAATTCGAGAAATCAGGAATATATAAATCAAAGTGTGGAACTTGCCCTAAGGTATAGGTACATTGGTGCAAACTGGTAGAATATTAAGGAATCGAATCCAGGAACATCATATGAGCTATGTAATTAAGGAAACAAGTTCAACATATTCAAATCATATTTTAGAAGAAAATCATATCTTCAACGGAGAGTTCAAAATTTTACACATAGAAAATAAAGGTTTGAAACTGAACCGTTATTGAACTTGTTTTCTTTAAAAAAAACGAGGAAGTATTATTTGTGATGTAGAAGTGAAATAATATGCTTCAGGTAATCATAATTGATGAGGTACCTCAGGTATATAAAAGTTGAAGAGGTTTAGGTAATTTGATGGAGGTAGTCCCAATTGTAGTTACCTGGGGTATATGAATATTAGCATAAGAATCACCTTGTAGTATTCAAATCACTGTTGAAGAAGCTACTGTGTTAGCGAAACATGTCGTGATACATTTTTCAAATAAAGTTTGTGAAGATCAAATCGTAAGGTGTTGTTTATGAAATTCACTATGGATCTTCATCAAGTAACGGCCATAACAATTCCAGGGCGAGCATCGTCATTTACATCTTCCTGACCTTTTGTGAAAATCTGGTACCAATTGAAAACATTTTTTTGGCACAGAGTACAATCACCGTATGCCACTGTAAACATTTCAAGTGTTTTTTGAGCACTCAATTCCATTTTTCACACAAAATTTGATGCAAATTCTCTGATCCATTTTTTTGATAGCAAAAATCGCCGAACACGCAAAATATTTCTAACTTTTATGCCTCCCACCAACAAACTGAACATGCTAAACAGCTGAAACTATAAACATAAGTTCGAGACGAGTGTACCAACATAAATAAATTGAAAAATCAATAATCAGATGTACGTTAACCCACGAAATTTAAACATTCACCTTATTTTCTAAACAGACCTTCCATTTCACTTTTATTTATTTATGTTTGACATTTCACAATTGTTGCTATTTTTTTTCACATTTTGTGACAGTACTGTCGTCTTTCTCAACCAAATATTTCAATCAAAAGAGTCTAAACACTATTCATGGAGACAATTTCTGTGTTAACCTCAACGTGGGGTTTTTCAAGATATAAAGACAGAAAGGTTCACTCTCTAGATATTTCTAAAACAGTCAAGAACATTCAAGAGCATTCCACAAAATCCCAGAATATCTTGAAGCATTCTGGAATGTTGTTGAACATTCGGGAACATCCCAGATCATTGTGGAACATTTTAGAACACTCGCAAATGTTTGTAGTATGTTCTCGAACGTTTTGGACCATTTCTAACTTTTTTGTATAGATAGGGCAACCGATTGGTGGGGGTATATAATATAATAATTAATGTATTAATATAGGTATATTATTGTTGTAAATCATGTCCGAAAGAAAATAACGCCAGCCGCCACTGGTAACCATAAACCAAACGTGGCGTAGCTAAGAGCGCGCGAATGAACGATGATTTCCCGCCACTCGAGAAGCAGCGAGAATAATGCTACCGATTTCGACGGAACTTTGGCGAAATTTCTACGACATTTTATTACGATATTTAAAGGCTAGCCACGAGGATATAGATTTTTAGCACTGTCTACCCAGTCAATGTCTGCGTTATCGAGAGTGAACCTGAAGCTACACTGAGTTTCTACTCTTTGTCTTTGAGACCCTATGCATAAGGCCAAAGTTTCATTTGGATTGATTTTCAGTCCATGTTCTCCGAGTATAGGAATGTTTTGTGCAAATCTGTGTTTATATTGGCCATGCAACTTTCTGTATCGGTGTTATGAAAAGACAAATATAATTGTATATCATCTGCGTATAGATGTACTTGACAATGTGGTAAGAAAGTGGAGTAATCAAAAATAAACACTGAAAACATCAAGGGTCCTAAAATACATTCCTGCGGCACACCTCTGTGTTCGGCCTGTGAGATAGCTGGTCATCCATTTTAGAGAAATGTCATCGAATCCTATGAACTTGAGCTTGCTGATGAGTAAATCGAAATTAACTTAATCGAAATCTTTACTGTGATCAAGAAGTACTAAAATGGTGACTTTTGATTGATCTCTGAATCTCGCAAGATTCGAGATCAATCAATCTAGTGATTCGACGCTTCTCTTCGATTGTTGATTTGTTGGGGCGTCCAGAGCAAGCTTCGTCATTCATATCTTCTCGACCTTCTGTGAGAAGCTTGTACCATTTGTAAACAGAGTACAATCACTTTATGCCACTATCAACATTCCAAGTGTTTTTGAGCACTTATTTTCATTTTTCTCACAAAATTTGATGCAAATTCTCTGATCTCTTTTTGAGATAGCAGAAAATTGTCGAACACGGAAAACACTTTTAACTTTTATGCCTCTCACCAACAAACTATACATGCTAAACAGCTGACACTCTGAACATGAGTTCAAGACGAGTGTACTTATACAAAAAAAATTAAAAAATCGAATGGATATGGCAACATGATTAGAAAACACCATGTATATGTCAGTAGGAAATTGCCTTCTGGTATGTACACGAGAAATCATTTATACGTGTACCTATATGACGCAAATTGCCAAACACGACTCTCCTCGATAGAAAGACTTAGCAGATTGTCTTTGATCTGGATTCCTGGCCATAACGACCTGAAAGGCAATGAGGCTGCTGACTCCCTTGCAATGGAGGGTACTGCAAGCAGCTTCATGAGACCAAAACCTGTCATTGGTATCGCTTTAAGCTTTGCCAAACAAAGATTGAACACCTGGATGTCATGAAGATTTATGGACTTGGCTCACTGCAAGGCGTTTATTCTCCCTCCGAAGCTTGATACCAAACAGGGCTTGGACTGCCTAGAGTAGGGATGAACTACGATGCCTAACAGGCCTTCTTACAGGTCACTGTCATTTGAATTATCACATGCAGAGACTCAGACTGTCCGAAGACAGTGTGTGTTGCCTCTGTTTGAAAAATGATGAAACAGCAGACCACAAACTTTGTGCCTGCCACGATGGGGACCGAATCCGGTTTTTAGAATTCGGCAGAGCCGTACTCTTATCATCTGACCTGAAAGACAACTTACCATAC